TTGCCTAGAACCTGATAACTCATGGTCGAAGTGGTCAAGCATGGCAGATAATGTCCAGCAGTGAGCATCCCACGAGTGCACGGATATCCTGAGAGTACGACGGATCCGTCGCCAAGATTGCCCGACTAAGTAACCCGAGACATTCTTCAGCTGAATCTGTCTGGCACTGCAAACGGCACAGCCCTACTGTCTTTCCTAGCAGCACACAACAGACCCACTGACAAGAATGGCAGCAAAAGCGAAGCTGGGCTGGGTTCGGCACCTCGCCACAACCAACTCGCAAAAATCCTGTGGTTGCGACGGATCCGTCGCCAAGATAACCCGACACAGTCACCACTCACCACATGCACTCTTCGGCTTCAAACTGCACTGCACTGCTGTCTCTACCAGAAGTTTTGCAGCATACAGCAAGCGCAGACAGCATACAGCGAGCGCGGAAAAAAAACTTGGATCTGCGCAGTCTTCAACTGATCTTGCACAGCTTTCGCTGCTACCTAAAAAGAAATCAAAACGACAATTCTTCATTTGATATGGTTCATGCATGCATATGAACTGGCTCTGAAAGTCAACACGCGGTACGTGGTCGTGGGTGCTTTTGAAACTCAACACTCGGTACGCGCATGTTTGGGTGGCCGCAAAAACACGGCCACCAAAGTTTTCAACCTGATCAAAACAATCTCAGGTCACGACGGATCCGTTGGGCGCAGAGCAAGTATCACTCCATGTGACCCAAAGCCAGTGGCAACAATGGCAACAAAAGCACGGAAAGGGGCTTGGATCTGCAGCTACTGTTTGTGCTGTGGTCTTCAAGATGCTGCGCAAGTCGGCCTGCAGACTTGACATACTCGGAACTACATGACTGCCAGACAAGGTCCACTTCTTGAATTACCCAGGCACACTGTCATGCCCCACTTGCACATTAAAACTACCCAGGAACTATCCTGGTCCACTTCTTAAAACTACCTAGCCACCACGTCAGACGTCCTCCTGCCCGTTGCCAGCTGCTGCCACGTCACGGTCGCGGTCACGATCGCCCTGTCCGCCCCCATTACGATCGCCCCCAGCGCGGTCTTGCCCATGTCCGTTGCCACCAGCACGGCCCCCTTTACCCGCACCGCCCTCACCACGCTGGCGTCGCAGCAGCCACACCAGGTCGGTTTCGCTTAGGTTGCCTGCCCTTTTAAGGAGGCGTCGTCTTTTGCGAGCCTGACGGCTCGAGGCCGGCGAACCGGCCTTCATGGAAGACTTAAAAGATATGTCGGACGCAACCCGGACAGACAAAACAAGACAACTACAGACAAGACAAGACAACAACAAACAAAACATGACAACAAAATAAACGCAAATAGCCTTGCCTCGTTTCGGAACGACTTCGTCGCCAACTTCAGAGCACTTTTGAGGCCCTGTCGCTGAACCTTCAGGTTGTTCAATAGGACGTCCATGAGAACAGACAGCCGCGCACGCACGGGAAGAGGGGCTTGCAAAGCTACAGCAGTTTGCTGAGCCAAGACACCTAAATCCAGCGCGCCAGTGGCTGCCGGTGGCTCTGAAGCACAGTGGTGACACTTCAGCTTCTGGACCGGAATCGGGGACCCAAAAACCTTTCCATTTCAGACCACTCGAGCACATTCCCCGACAGTTTATAACCCTACTTATCACCCTTGAGCTTTTGGGAAGCTGGAAGCTTCTAAGGCTTAGAGGATGCACATCACCGAGACTAACGATGAGACCGTACTTCAGGGCTTGAGATGTTTATACTCTGCACGCCTGATTAGGGTGACCATACTTTAGAACTCAGGCTGTCCGTACTTCAGCGCTTGGGGTTCAGAGACATACTCGGCGTGCTTCCAACATGCCCGGAAGGAATGCACAGCAAAGACGGTCGCAAGATTAGGAGTTCGGGGTTGACCTTAAAAAAGCTGCCTGTCCAGGACTCGTAGAAGGAAATCACAGGAACCCTGAAACGGTTGGTCATTATTGGGCTACGGTGGGGCTTAGGAGTTTAGGGTTGAAGGGCTAGGGTTTAATGAGGGTTTAAGGCATCAGGATTGAAGAGATCACTACCAACACCGACTCTTTCGTAGGTCCTGAGTAGCAGCTTTCGAACTATGGAATTTGTAGGGGCCCTACACAACAAATAGGTTTCGATCATTTAAGGTAAGGTAAGGATTCAGGGTTTCCTGCCAAGTGTTGAGAGTTTGAGCATCTTGTGTGCATAGTTTTAGGGGCTCAGGGTTACAGGGTTGAGTGTCCAGGCTCTTTGAGGGAGGGACAGCGAGGCAGCAACGTGGGACTATTATTGACCAGCCTTACGACCCAGATCTAGTGGTGACTTGTGGTTAGTTCCCGCTTTGATCCATAAACCCTTGCCCTGAAGACTTATAATGTTATAACCTTGAGCCCTGTTGCAGATTCTGGCGCAAGGGGCTTGAGACTGTGAACGCCTGGCCTTTCCGATGAGCTTCTCAGCCACGGATGGCACCATGCCTGACGACAGCTCTGAGATGGTGAAAGATCTACGACCCTACAGAAGATCAGGGGAAATGAAGTGAGGAGTTCGATGTGGGAAGTATACTTCCAATTAAAGTCCAACAAGAAGATCTGATAGGAACAGCCAGAACCTAATATAGGGGCCTCAATAATTGGAATAAGGATTTCGGGCCCGTTATCCGGTAATTAAAATAAGGAACCCCCAAAATAAGATATGCAATTATCAAGGCCCCTGTATTAACACAGGGCCTGAGCAGCTGTTGCTCGCAGTCCCTGGACGCTCCCGATTGCACCCGAGTGGCTCACACGTTTCTCATTGTCGCCTTCCTTGAGGATGCCTGTGTTGAGGTTTCTCCACCTGTGGCTGACGGACAGGGGGCTTGAAGAGTTAAGGTTATGTGCCATGATTCTGAAGGAATTTCGATCGAGCCATGTTACAGTACACGCAAGTTAAAAGAGGCTCCTATAGGAAGCGTTCAAGCCCGTTCGAAGCATGAAGATGCGGCCAAGACTGATCTTCGTCTTGGCTCCCGAGAAGCTACACTTGGAGGACCAGAAACCCCGAATCTGTCGAAGCGGCGTGGTTCGAAGCGCCGACCACGGCGCCCCCCGCTGGAGGCGCGATCTAAGGTGCCTGGGGCCGCATCGAAAGCTCAGGATTGAAAGGTTTGGGGCTTTGCGTTTTCTGGGCTCTGGCTTGATGTTCTCTCTCTCGCTCTCTCTCTCTCTCTCTCTCTCTCTCTCTCTCTCTCTCTCTCTCTCTCTCTCTCTCTCTCTCTCTCTCTCCTCTCTCTCTCTCCCTCTCTCTCTCTCCCTCTCCTCCCTCGCTCCCTCCTCCCTCCCTCCCTCTCCTCTCCCCGTCTCCCTTCTCGCGCTCCTCTCCCTCTCCCTCTCCCCTCTCCCTCTCCTCTCCCTCATCTCCCTCTCCTCTCCCTCTCCTCTCTCTCTCTCTCTCCTCTCTCTCTCATCTCCCTTCCCTCCCTCTCTGTCCCTCCTCTCTCTCTCTCTCACTCTCTCTCTACTCTCTCTACATCCTCATCTCCTCTCTCTCTCTCCTCTTCTCCCTCTCCGATCTCTCTCTCGGCTCTCTCCGTCTCTCTCCTCTTTTCTCTCTCCTGCTTTCTCCTTTCTCTCTCCTCTCTCTCTCTCCGTCTCTCTCTCTCTCTCCCCTCTCTCTCTCCTCATCCCTCTCTCTTCTCTCTCTCTATATATATGTATACACACACCGTACATACATACCTACCTGGTATGACTACAATAATATTACTGCATACATATATATAGAATAGCATACATACATACATACCTATCAACATACATCATACATACATACATACATACATCACAACCACAACCCATACACAAACCCAACACAACACAACACAACACAACACAACACAACACAACACAACACAACACAACACAACACAACACAACACAACACAACACAACACAACACAACACAACACAACACAACACAACACAACACAACACAACACAACACAACACAACACAACACACATACATACATACATAATCATACATACATATGCACATACAGACAGACAGACAGCCAGGCAGGCAGGCAGACAGAACGACGATGACCGACGGACAGACAGACAGACAGACAGACAGGCAGACAGATAGACAGGCAAACACATACATACATATACATACACATACCTACCTACCTACTCACATACATACATACATACATACATACATACATACATACATACATACATGTATATGTATATGTATATGTATATGTATATGTATATGTATATGTATATGTATATGTATATGTATATGTATATATATATGCATGCATTCTGTTAAGCACAACACATAGTGAATATAAGAAGAAGAAGAAGAAGAAGAGAACAGTCATTAGTCATTACTACTTTTGCTTTCACGTATTGCGTGTCAGCCGCTACATGTATGGGTCTCTTACTTCTTAACTTCCGAAGCTCTGCTCCGCCAAAACAGCCAAGCTGCATCATGTTCCTGCCACGGAAGACTCAAAATCCCGGGGCCATGGGACAAGTGCAGCTGCCAAATGGCTGCAGCCCATGCGCTGGTTCTACAAGTCGAGCGCCGCTTTAGGGTTTAGGGTTTAGGGAGAAAGAGAGGGAGAGAGAGAGAGAGAGAGAGAGAGAGAGAGACAGAGAGACAGAGAGACAGACAGAGACAGACAGACAAACAAACAGAGTGAGAGAGAAAACAAAGAGACGGGGGCCCACAAGGACGTAAACGAGGGACCCGCAGATAGCCGGCCAAAATATGCAGGTTGGCAGTAAACAGCAAACTCAATAAACGTAGCGAAGACAGGTGACAGCTCCCGTAGACTGCCTAAAAAGAACCCAAAAACATAGAGTGGGTTTTGGACCTGCCAAATACCCCAAAACCTGAATCCCCAGCAAAACCCTAACAAAGAAGGGTTCTCTTTATGCCAAAACCCCGTGGACACCCCGAACTCTACCTAAACCCTAATCAAAGGGAAGGCCCACCGGGACAGAGGCCGAGAAATTCTCTCGGCTGCCGCACCGCTTGACCTGGCACGGTTTTTGGTTAGGGGGCTTCGGGCTTCAGGGTTTAGGGCTTCGGAGGTGTCAGCAAGCGATGTAGGAATTAGGGTCCAGAGCTGGCTGTTACGGGTTGATGGCTTCGCCATTTTCGGAATGACGGATAGATTATAAAGGGTCCTACAGCTTTAATGTTGAGAGCTCTGAGTTTAAGGGCTAACGGGGTTTGGCGGCCTGGCTCGGGATCTAAACTACTGGAGGCTGAAAGCCTCGACACTGCTAAGGAGCGCCTTTGCATCGGGGTCGTTGGAGCTTCGGATTTCGGTATAGGGTTTAGGGTTTAGGGTTTAGGGTTTAGGGTTTAGGGTTTATAGGGGCAGGGTTTAGGGTTGACGCGGCTAATGCAGACCTAAAATTACTGACCCTCAACGCCCAAACCTTCAAATCCTAGACATCCTCAAGCCTCAACCGTTGCAAAAGGTGTAAATCCTTCTACCCTTATGACTCTATAACCCCTTAGAAACCCTTGCAAACCCTTATTTGCCACATATACACCCTTAACATTCCCTTAACCTACTTAGCAGACCTACTTATAAAGCCTGAACCCAAAACACTACTCCAAAACCCTTAATTCAGGAACATACCCAAAATCACCCTAGAGATCCTACTGTCACTTATGTAATGTAATGCTCCTTAATTTTCGGATACTTTACCTTAGCCCTCATAAGGCCTTTTGAACCCCCTTGCCAGCAGGTCCAGGAGGGGTTTTAGCCCTCTCTCTTTGTTTCAATTAAATTTGTAGTGCATTAGGCACATGCGATTCGAACTCTCAGCCTCGCGAAGGAAAAAAAACACCAAAACACTAGACCCTGAACCCTGAGCCTGTCCTAGACCCTCAAAAACAGGTAAAAATAATGGCCCAAAACCCATGAAAGGCGATTATTCTACACACTGTTGGGCCCTAAACCCTAAGCCTTTATCCGCATTTTACCGAAGCCTTGTTGCAGCTGCCAGACCGGGGACGTCTGCCCACCTCCTCAGTGCGAGAGGAGGTTTCCAAAGGTACTATCAGGGTTCTACAGGGGTTTAGGACTGCAGGGTTTCGGTTGCGGGCTTAGGGTTCAGGACTTAAGGGTTAAAGGGCCTGGGGTCTAGGGACAGGGTGCGATCAGGGTTCTAAAGGGGCTTAGCGTTCAAGGGTTTAGGCTTAGGGGTTCAGGGTTTATCAAGGTTCTACAGGCTTGGATTAGGCATGAGGACTTTAAGTCAGAGTTTCGGGAGCTCAGGCTTTTGGGCTTTCTTTCGGTTTCTCAACAGACGTGACTGCAAGATCGAGGACACATTCTTGTTCTTCGGCTTAGGGGGCAAGGCAATTCTCAACCGTAAGATGTGACTTTAGGGCTCTGCTGCTTCGGGTTCGGGGTTGTATTTTGGGGGATGACTAGTTATTGTTGTTACAATTTACGACTCATGGTATCGATATATAGAGGCCTTAAAGATTGGAATGGAGCTGGGGGGGAGGGGGTATGATATTTTCTTATGATTAGTCTCCGCATATTCTGGTGATGATTTATTCAAGCCCCTATATTAGCTGGTTCCAAGGGTGAAAGGAGGGACCCTCAAGAAGGACCCCTAGGCATATACCCTTCAAAAAGCTATTATATACTCATCATTATGTAGGCCATTGTTGGGTAGGGTCCCCAGTAAGGGTCCCTCTTCTTCCCCTTTGACTGGCTCTGGGCCTTGGCTTGAGACCTGAGCGCTGATGCGAAGATGGTGGCTCGAAAGCTATCGGAATCCTGGCCTTTTTCCCCCTTGATGCCATGCTCCGCATGGCTCCAGCTACTTTTCCCAGGTGGGGCGTTTAAAGCTTGTCAAAAACTGTTGGAAAATGAGATCCTCTTAAGCCCAATCAGGGAGAATATGAAATGTCCCAAAGCCCTACCTAGTTTTGAAAAGCACCTTCACCAACACTACCACGACGAGGACGACGACCGTCACGACTCTGAGCACGTGGCCCCAGTCAAGCTCAGCAGGTTCTCCCGGCTGCCACCTCGCTTGACCTGCGGCGGGTCGGCTCTACAGTCACTTCAAATCACGGATGCGCGACACGACGCCGATCGGAGGAAGAAGGCAGGGGTCTCACCGTCGAGCCTGTGAGCCCCCCCCCTTAGTAGAGGAACAAAAAAAAGGTGTTCTGCAAGGAGTTTATGGGGCTGTAATCTCGGTTTTTACGGGTTCTATGCGGTCTGCAACTGAGTATACCTTCAATCAGAATATCCAGCCCCGGTCTATGAGTTCAAACTTTAAATCCAAGATGCACACACCGAGTACCATCTGCTCGATGAGAGCCGAAGATTTGGAACTTACACTCCAAGGAAGCTCTGCATCCTACAACGCAGAAGCCTCTACTGACCGAAACCCCACACCCGGAACCAAAACTGTCAAGAACAAATTCTTGCGCTGGAAACTGGAAGCCCAAATCTCCGCACCTTTACAGTGCTAGAACTTAAATAGACTTCCACCCCCTGGTCTTGCTGCTCCTGAGCCTGAAAGCCGAAACCCTGAGCCCGAAAAAAAAAAGGCCCTGAACCCGGAGCCCATAAATCCTAAACCCAAACCCAACACCCTGTAGTACCTTTATGGAACCCTACCTCTACAGACCAAAAAATCCCAGAACGTCTAAACCCCTAAAGAAAACCCCAAAACCCCGATCCTGAAATTCCGTTGCCTGCCTTGTTACTCCCGGACCGCGGTCGCGAATTCCGCCTCAAGTGGGAGCACATCGGAGTTTAAAGGGCTACTACTAGGGGGACCTGAATCGGGGCGAAAAGGGCTTCAGGTTTTCAGGCTTAAGGGGATCAGATTTTCTGAGTTCGCTAAGTTGTCGTTATCCGTGCATGGGTGTGGGGGTTTAGGCACAAGGGGCCGGAGAGCACAACGGCGGAGCACCCCTAAAACCTGAGTTCTACACCCCAGATCCTAAAACTAAAAGC